AATCCCTTAAAACCTTAGAAAGTATATCAATACAATGAAAAATGAACTAGTTTTCAGATATTTCAAATTCCTATCTCCCCACAAAAAGTAATAGTCTTTTGCCTGAAATTTGCATTTGTCTCATGTAATGTGTTTTTTAAGATCAAAAGTATTGGAATAAACTGACTTAATCGTTCATCTCCTAGTCCATTGAACAGGGAAGATTGTATCCCATACTGTCTAAGGGAGGAAAATATTTTTCATTCAGATCAACTTCTGTGTTCACTGCGTCGTTCGATATTTAGAAAGTGTTGGAAAGGGCACCTGAAAATACAACCTCATTCTGAAAAGATTGGCTGAGGAATTCTTTCCCAGGAGAGGTGAGGCTTGCCCTGTGCCCTGGGCTACCCTGCCCAGGGCACAGACTCCAGCCTTTATTAAAGTAGCTGCTGCTCCGGGTATTGTCTCATTTGTCCTCACATTGTAGGAAATCCCAAATGCAATATCCATAAAATATCAATATAAAGGGATTTAAATGAGGGTCCATCTGGGGGATGGGTGAGGAAGAGGAAATTGCCCTTGTTTATCTTTCTCCTCCATCTCCCGTCTGGTAACAATTTTAAGTTCTTAGATGCCTACGTGAATGCTTTCACAGAATACGCTCTGCAGAGAATCTGTCAGTTTACACCATCAGAAATAAAGCAAAACTTAGCAGAGAGATGTCACGTGTGAGCTCAGATTTGGGTTTATCTAATGGAAACACCCTCCCCTTCTTGCCTTAACCTGGGCCAGGGCCATTCTGACCTCGGGTCTAACTTCTAAGGCAAGAGGGTGGAAAAAATGTCTTTGCGGAGATTTCAAGTGGTAAACATGGAAAACAGAGGCCATGGATTTGATAGACTCCATCTGGAAAGCAGCATTTAAAGGCAAACAGAGCACCCTACTCACAGCTGATTTGGTTTACACTAGAACACAGTTTACATTCTCCTGTGTAGACTGAAATGAGATTACACTGAATACAATGATGTCCTGAAGTTTAACACCTCTCTTTTTTAAAATATCATTTTCAGATTTTTAAAAAATCATACCAACACTCTTTACCACTAAAGTCAATAATTCCTCAATAACTTAGGGAAGATGTTGTATATGCCAGGAATTAGGAGACAGGAACAAGAGGGAATCTGGAAGATACAATTTGCTGGAAGCTTCTTGTCATAAAACCTCCAGGGCTCCAGCCACCCAACTGTCTTTCCTTCCATTGAACATCAGCCAGAATTACCTATAAATGTGGAGGTGTGGAAGGTGTTCTGGGCACAGCGTTTCAAGGCTTTATTCTTCCTTCCCCCTTCTTCCTCTCTCTCTAGGAGCTTTTCAGATTATCAGGGAAAAGTATCCCCATTCTGGCCGTCGAGTGACCAGTGTTAGTACTGAAGTCTCTTGTCCGGAGCACCAGAGTCTTAAGCCAACCAGCAGAGTCGGTTATCCTAGCTGCCCCACAATGGGTTTCCTTTTTTTTTTTTTTTATTAATTTTTATTGGAGTATAGTTGATTTACAATGTTGCATTAGTTTCTGCTGTACAGCAAAGTGAGTCAATTATACATATACATATATCCACTCTTTTTTAGATTCTTTTCCCATATAGGCCATTCACAGAGCACTGAGTAGAGTTCCCTGTGCTATACAGTAGGTTCTCATTAGTTATCTGTGTTATATATAGTAGTGTGTATATGTCAATCCCAACCTCCCAGTTTATCCCTCCCACCCCCAGGTTTCTTATTCCCCTCCTTCCCTAAGGTTTCCCACATGACTACCAAGAGGGCTTGGAGCTTTGGAGATAACCAGCCTGCTGTCAACGTATGTCACGCCCCATGAGATTTTGTGGCAGCCTTTCTCACTTTTTACCCAGTAAAGGAGGCTCAGCAAGGAGATCTGGTCAAGCTGCGGGTGGTAGACGCAGAGCCTGGTGTTCCCTTTCCCCTTCTCGTCAAAAAGGACGTGATCACAGAGCCTTTTTTTTTGTGCTGTACGCGGGCCTCTCACTGTTGTGGCCTCTCCCGTTGCGGAGCACAGGCTCCGGACGCGCAGGCTCAGCGGCCATGGCTCACGGGCCCAGCCGCTCCACGGCATGTGGGATCTTCCCGGACCGGGACACAAACCCGTGTCCCCTGCATCGGCAGGCGGACCCCCAACCACTGCGCCACCAGGGAAGCCCCCACAGAGCCCTTTTTAACAGGGAAAGTGAGTTGTGCCCGTCACCCTCCTGAGCACCTTCCCCGGTTGCTTGGTCCTGAGGCTTCTCAGCGCTCACAGGAGCCCTTTTCTACTTGCCCATGCCCAGGTTCCTAGGCGAATGGGCTGCAAAAAATAATCCACATTTTTACGCCTTATGTTTCCCTCCAAAGTAGAAATAATGCTTTGTAATGAGTAAGCGGCATCCAGGTGAAACCCAGAAAAATGAAATCATAATATGACCATAAAGACTCATATTCTGAAGTTTGACTATAGCGTGTGTGTATGTGTATAGAGGTGTGTGTATATGTGTGTTATGTGTATAGAGGTGTATGTGTGTAAGTCTGAGAGAGAGGTGGGGGGAAGCAGAGATTATACAGCGTGCCCTCACATTCCTAAATTTTAGGTGATTTCCTCTTTCCCAGAACACAAAAGGTGGTAGTCAGAATTGACGATAAATGACTACTTCCAGGTTAAGTGTGAACTGCATAGCCTTGTCACTACCTGTGCCAGAGTCCCTGGGGAGAAGGCAGTTGTAGCCTGCAAGATACAGAATCCTCAGCAGCGCCAAAGGCATCCTGGGACTGAGAATTTTCCCTCCATTTTTGGTGGGAACTTGATGGCTGCTTTCAAGAGGCAGTAGCAAGGGATTTTTCCAAAGAGTGAACCAAGAAGGGCACTGAAACTCCTGGAAACAGGCACACATCCCTCCTCTCCTCCCCAGCGCTCAGCCAAGGGACTTGTCCTTCTCTCTGTGCTAAGACTTGATGAAACATGTTGTTTTTATTCACCTCAAGTCTTGAGCAAAAAGTATATTGTTCTGCCTCCAGGCCAGAAAACTCTCTCCTAAGAATTTACAAGCCACCTGTGGAGTTTCAAAGAGGTTTCAGATGGAATGGTCACGCGCCAGGATTTCCTAACACATCCAAAAATGAGACCTGCGAAGACAAAAAAAAGGAACTGTAGGTGCTTTTTGAGCTTTCTAATAGATATTGTGAAAGGGAGGATCTCATCCATTGGTGGATCATTTTCAAGAATAATCTGAGTCAAGTCTGTTTGTTGGAGGAAATAAGGAAGCAGACCTACACTCTAGGAAATCACGCTTCCTGACCTGGCACTGATACCTACCCCCCACCTTCTTAATGGAGGTTTCCCTGCATGGCTGGATCTCTGTCTCATCGGGTGCCACCGTTGGAAACAAAAGGCACATGGTGCTTCATTTTTATTTTCCTTTAACTCATAGGATTCATACAAGATAAGTTGCTATGGGCACAGGAGGAATAGAAGTTCTCTTCAGAATGGTTCCAGAAAGCAGAGAGGAAAGGAGCCTGCCTTCCTTAGCTGAGCTATGTCCAAGCTTGTGCTCACAAGACATTTGCTTCATGAATATCAAAGTAGCCTGAAGAAGGCAGTTGTCAGCAAAGAAAGCTGGTGGCTTCCTTCACATATGGCTCTGCCCATCCACGGGTCCTCACCCAGCACACTCAGCCTCTCGGCTTCCAAAGGTGGAAGGCAAGACCTGACTGAGGACATTTCAGGGTCCGTTACCACCTCGGTTCTCCCAGGGAAGGTACCACACTTTGCCCGGACAGTAAGAAGCCTATCTTGTGACTAGTGAACCAACCCCACCATCACCCCAACCATGTCCTGCTGAGGGCACTCTCTGATAACTCCCACCTTATTTCTCCCAGCCTGTCTTATACAGAAAGACCCCCTCACCCAAGAGGCTTCTCCCTGTGGTCAAGATGTGGCTTTTCTTCTTTGCCCTGAATGACCTGGATGGTGCCCTGTGGCTACCTTTCCCTCCAATAGAGTCAGCCTTTATGATACAATCCTTGTTTCCAAGTTCTAAGACCGCTAGTACTGCACATTCTCATAGATGATTTATTAGTCTCTCTAGGGAAGTATATTTCTGAAAGAATCATGTCGTTTGCAAGGCATATGGCAGAAGGGAGCTTTAGTTAAGGGATGGTGAGCTGAATCGCATCAGGTTTTGCTTTGGCAAGGACACTGGATGGATGCCTTTATGATGAAGTGGGTCTCCTCCAGCCTTTTCTTTAATGCAGGTCTCCAGCAGGTGTTTCCTCTAAGGCATATCTGTTTTCCATAACGTCAGAATGAAGAAAGATGTTTTCTGTGACATCTTGGCTACATAGATCATGCTTTTTATTATGATAGAAAAGTGTACAGTGATTTATTTGCTACTCTGAGTCAAGTTAAATGTGCTTGGGAGAAGATCATCTTCTATCTGCCAAAAGGGCCTTTCATTTCCAGACCAAGGACTCTTTATTCATTATGGGGGGTGGGCGTGGGGAAAGGAAGCATTAGAAGAAGTGGCAAAAGAGCTGAAGAAAGTGACCAGAAGAAAAGTAGGGGAAGTTATTGTAGACAGGGGTGCTGAGGGCAGAGAGCAGGAAGCCACCTCCTGAAGGTAGCTTGGGTATATTATATCAACACCTGAGGGACGGTGTCTAGGAAACTACACATGGAGAGAAACAAGCTGCTATGAATGAGCAACACAGCCAATTCTCCAAATCCTGATAAAAATCAAAACCAGACTAGGGTCTTGGTGTGCTCCCCTTAACAAGCTTGGCATAAAGCCATCACCGTGGTCCTGTCTAGCCATCACCATTAAGAGAGCCTGTGTGGCTTTTAGGATGCTGAGTTGGGACTCATGACTTATGGATATTTAAACCACAAAAAGCTGTTAATTTGAATTAGCAAGATAACTCATTTTGGTCAAGCTGACCTTGAGGCTTAACTTTACAACATCTTCTGCCTAGGTAGATGACTAGAATCCACTAACTTTGTAGGTAGGTCTCAAATGGAGAGGGAAATAAAGGATTGCACCTAGTCCTTGGCTGATCTCATTAGCAGTTAGCCTCTCTACTTTTCTAAACCCTTCTCCAGTGCCTCAAGTCCCCCACCCCAGCTTCTCTGTCTGGGTCCTCTCTCTATCCCATTAGTTTAGGTCTGATGTTGGTCTAAGTTAAAGTTCCTTTGTCTGAAAAAGTGTGACTTCAGATACTAGTTTAGAAACTAACCTGGTTAAAGAGAGCAAAATACTTACGTTGGAGCTGAGTCTTTGAACCAGGTGTTGAATAACAAGCTGTATTAATTCACAGGGGAAACCCCTAACCCTTCAGCACAAAGAACAATAGGTCATATTAGTCCCAGGATGTATAGTAAAATCTCACGGGAGAACGCTGTCATAAGCTGCTGGTTACCGGGACTGAACCTATAGTGTGACATAGTACAGCACATCAGAAAAGGCATTTCAAGGCGTAGTAACAGATGTTTTTAAGTAGTAAGTACCTAAGTAAATAGTAAAAGTTTTTGTGAAGTGTGCGAAAAACACTGGATTACACAAATTTTAAAGGATATCTCTTTTGCAAGACTTTGCAGAACCTTTGATATGCTAAGCTGTGGGGTGAATTTCAAAGAGCGGATACTTTTCTAAAAATTTGTTTGCTTACAGAAATCATTTCCTCGGGACTTCTCCAGCTGCTAATATTATGGAACGTGCATTTTGGAAAAGGTATTTGTATTAGGATAGGGCAGACTAATGCTGTGGGAGCAACCGTGAAATCTCAGTGGCTTAGCGCAACAACGGTGTCCTTCGTGTTCACGTTACATGCCCAGCGCAGGTCAAGGAGGCAGGGACTCGGCTCCACGTAGTCACTCATGTACTCAGGCTGGCCATTTCTGCAGCAGGTTGGGAGGGAGCCTGAAGAATCACATGAGGGCTTCTCCCTACATCAGCCATCACTTCTCACATGTCATTGGCCAGAATGAATCATGTGGCCCCACCTAACCCACCCATCTGCTAAGGCAGGAAAGGAAAACTGGGCATTGTGAGCACCAGTAATCTCAACCTCAGCATTGTATTCAAGTGTCAGCTTTACAGTCTGTTAGCTCTTTGACTTTTATCCGTAAACTAAGGGGTGTTCTTTAAAGTCTCTGAAAGAGACAGAAATGCTCAGCAGATATTTCAGATGCTTCCCATGTTCCTCAGCCCTGTAAAGTCAGCAGGAGCCATGTGACTCATTCTGGCCAATGAAATGTGAGCCATGTGACTGGTTCTGGCCAATGAAATGTGAGCCATGTGTGACTCTTTCTGGCCAGTGAAATGTGAGCCATGTGACTCGTTCTGGCCAATGAAATGTGAGGTGCAATGACTTGTCAATTTGGGCCAAGGCAGTTAAATGCCTGGGCTCATCTCTCTCTCTTCTCTTGCCTTAATGACCAAGGGGGATGCATGTTCCAGGGGGTGTACCCTTAAGATGGTAGAGCCTCTGTCCCCCTAAGACTCTGAATGGCTGTGTAGAGCAGAGTAAATACATAGTGTGGGTGAGAAATAACCTGTGTTGGGTTAAGCCCTTGAGATTTGAGGTTGTTTCTGCAGTCTATGCCTGGATTCTCTCGGCTTGAACAGGTCCTTTCTAACCCAAACCTCTCTGTGATTCTTGAAGGGTTTCCTTTTTTCTCTCACAAGCACATATATATTCCTTGGGATGGGAGTGGGATTTTTCAAAAGCTCCTCAAACCCTTTTGGTGATTGAATACATGACATGACAAGCATTGTGCCTGATGGCAATGTAGGGTGATTACATGGAAGGCTTTGCCGAGACTTAGACCAAGGTTTGAGCAAATTTTAGTCAAATGAAGGCCGGTCATGGAAGCTGTAAAGGATGCAAAATGCATTTAATAAGTAAGGATGTTTCAAAAGAGACCCATAAGAAAAGATATGGAAAGGAGACAAGAGGAAAACAGGTTAAGGAGAGAGGTATACCACTCATGATTCGATCTCACGGCCTTTTAAATTCTGTATTCAGGTGCACAAAACACCTCTCATGATTTCTCCCAAGCAGCAGTAGCATCAGAACGGTAGCAAAATTAAGAACAGATGTGACCACCCTCAAGGCAGTTAATCTAAGTTAGAAAGAGATACTGGTGTGTCTGTTAAACACACACACACACACACACACACGTACACACACACGTACGCGCGCACACACACACACAGTTCTTGATGGCTTTTGCCCAAAGTGCTTAGTATGTCTTCAGCTGTGAAGACATTCAGCCCTTGGTGTCTGTCCTTCAGACATGCATCTCTATTTGGGGGTCTCATAGACCCGAGGTCATCTTCCTTATGTTATTCTTCACTTTGGGCTTGAGGGTCCAGTGAGTTTGACGTCATGCTTTGTTACACCAGAGCCCCAAGTGTTCCCAGGCAAACTTTCTACATTCTCCGTATCTAGGGCTTTTCTATACGAAATGGAGCGAGAGTCTGACAGCCTCGATAGCAGTGGCATGTTTCACTGGTGCAAAGCCACCCCTTTGGACAAAATGATTCTGGTAGGTGATCTTGTACCAAATCTCAGGTAAAATAAAGCTCCTTTAGGGTAGATGATGTCCTTCCACTAGTCATAAGCACCTGCCGTTTCTCTTTGTAAACGGTGAATTTTGAAGGAAAAACATACCTCATGAGCCACGTGAATGTACGCAGAATAACGGATGTGGCATTTGACAAAGGCCATGTGGGTAATATGATGCCGGGATTTTAAATAATTAGATTCTTCAACTACTTTTCCCCTCCTTTAATAGTTTAGCTGAGTCAGTTATTCAGAATAATGTTCTCCTGAAACTTTGCTGTTTTGCTAGTAAATCTAATTGATTTAAATGCACCAGGGGAACAGACTATTTACAAGAACTCTGTGGTCTTTCTTTTTTTAATTAAATAAAAATTCCCTTAATTAGTTTTTAAAGTTTGGATTTTCTATAGTATTTTTTCTTGAAGGTGGTTATACTTAAACACATTAGCAAAGGATGTATCTCCAAAATGCTCAGTTCTCCCACCCCACACAGCATGAGGGAATCCTTATAGATGCTAGAATCCTGTCCTTGTCTCTGTCCTCTTAAGGAGACAAACTAATTCAGCTCACTGAAATGCCAGCAACCAAGATGCAAAAAGCCTTGCATATTATCCCAGGCTCTGATACCTGCATTATGGATCCCCATCTGTTCTCATTTTCCAGAGTTGGAAACTCAAGGATAATCTCAGTGGTTTACCTTGCAAGCAGTAGCTGGTAAATTTAAGTAATAAAAGATGAATTTTTTAATTAAAAATAAACTAATAAAAGATGTCTGCATGTTGTAAGAACCCTATATAATTTGTTCAACTGTGACTAATGGATAATTTTGTATTTTTCTTGCTTTCCAAAAGTAGTTTAGTTCACTTTTTTTCTGTTAAACACACACACACACACACACACACACACACACACACAATTTTGTAGCTCAGTGCCAATGTCCTGACAGAATATGTTCCAATTTTTGTGAAAAGCATGATCAATCATTTGATCAGAAGTACAAAATTGTCAGAGCTGTCATATCAACTGGAAAACTGTTAGGGCTGCTGAAACTCCCCATTTTAGCAAGTATGTCTTATTCTGAATGAAACAAAATAAACATCCGTTGAGCAGGAAGGCAAACATGTTTCCAGTGGGAGGGAAATCTTTAGAAAGGTTGGGAGGGGGTTGCAGATGGAAGCATCCAGGAGACCAAGAGATGGCAATAGCAGACATTTTCTTATACCCTATTTACTGAGCCCGCAGACAGGTTGCTCTGATAGAGCAACTCTATGTGGAATATAGTTCAGAACACCAGCTGAGTCTTCTGATAAATTTAGAAGGGCTTCTAGTTTAAGAAATCCTAAGAGTTTTGAAACTGTGACTATAGAGGAGAAATGTCCAGATTACAAAATTTGGGCCAACTTTGAACTTGGTTTGGTTTGCAGAAAAGTCAAATGGAAGTTGTCGATTTGTTACTTGGAGCAAATAGTGCATCCTCCCCTTCCCCCCAAAAGCCACCATCTTTCTCAATTGGGAGACAGTTTTATGCTGCAGTTCCTTGGAGAAATTACCTCTCTAGCTGTGCCCATTAATTGCACTCTGCCGTGTATCTCGTTCCTAATTGTTTAGGTCTACTAAAAAGAGCAATTTCTGGACTTCAGGCCTGTTACGTTAAATACTGTTGGAGGCTTCATTATTCAAGTTAAAACTAATCGAATTAGCCAGAGACAATTATTCAATAGATTTGGTTAAGATTCATATCACTCTCTGAAAGGCTCTCCAGACAAGTAGCTTCGTTTCCCACAGGGCCATTTCCTTTGGAATTTCCCAGTCTATGCTAATTGGACAAACTATGCTATTTCCCAGTCTATGCTAATTGGACAAACTCTAATTGTTGAGATGTCAGATGTGACTTATTTATCCTGTTAGATTTCAGCAGCCCCTGTTTCATAGAAGCTTGTCCTTTAACCCAGCAAAAAACTGGCATTAGGATGAATGATACATCCCTTTGAAATATCCTGAATCTTCATGTGCTCGGGAGGGTAGAACACACTCAAACAGGAAGTGCTTGTAAATATATTTAACAAGTTCTCTACCAGCTTCCAAGGGTCCTCCTCTGAAAATCTAGGAATTCAGTGAGATTCAGATTTGATTAAATAGTTTTTGGACAACTATAGGAGCCGAGCGCTGAACTTTCAATATATTATTTAATTTCCACAACGAATTAACTTTTATTTATTTTTAAACCATTTAAACAAAGAAATTAGGGGTCAGTGAGGTTAACTAGTTTGTTTATGGTCATACGCTAATGACTACCAGAATACAAAATCACTGCTTATTCTACCTATCCCAGCACAGTGAGAGTAAGACATTGACTCATTCCCTGAAATCAATCACAGAGACTTAAAATAAGTTTCCTACAGGACTATCATCCCTTTCTCTAAAGTTACACTTATTGTTTTTAAAAGTCTCTATGAATGTGGGGAAACCTAATCTAAATATCCATCACGTGTATTATTTTGTCTTCAACTTAAAATTATAGGGGAGATGTTAAAAATTGGCCATGCTGATAAGAGTATGAGACATATTGAAATGTTTGGGATCAAATGGAACTTTTGTAACCTTCACATTTACTTTGTGCACTTTTCATGATAAATTTCCTGAACTCTGGAATCTATTGAATCTGGGCAGTGTAGTCGGTGAGGCCATATGAAATTGCCAATATTCAACCATTTTTGACCCAGAAAAAAGGCAGTTTCATATGGTTCACGCTAATATGTATATTTTCATATGTATGAAAATCCGCTGAAAACTGCAGCACGTCGTACGGCTGGGGGTTTTTCAGGGCTCGCTAGAAGACAAGTTTAGCAATGGGATTTGGAATGTTTTCGTTTTTCAGTGAGTCGTCCTGTAGCACATACGAGGCTAAAAACATATAATGAAAATGAGAGCTGTTTTCCCCATTTGGTTCAATGATTTCATGCTTTCAATGATGCCGATCTGAGTTTGCACTGAGGCACTCCAGGCTAACAGAGAACTGGAAAAAGCGAAATAAGAAGGAACTCCCGGAAAAGATACATAGTTTAATTGTCCCATAGTGGATAAGTTCCATGTTTTTTATGAGTAATTTGCAAAATCCGATCATCCTTATGAAAGTGCTAGTGTGAATGTAAATACCAAGAAGAGTTGGGATGTGGGGAAGGAGCCCTCTTTAAAGGACTCTCATCTTGTTTCTAAAAATGACCAGACTCTGGCCTGCTTATACTTAGAATCGAACTGAGAAGTCAAAACATGAGTTTCGGAACCACATTGTAGCGTGTGTCTTTGGAGATGCCCACTCAACACTGATGGGGCTTCGGAATTTTGTAATGCCATTGAGAGCTAGCAGCTATACCCGTCAGGAGCTGAAGGACATTGTGTTCGTCGGGTCTCTGGATTACCTGCAGAGAGAATGGCGATTTCTCCAGAATTTTCCCCAGATATACATCCTGCCTGTAAGTGTCACAGTAAGGGATGGTGAATATTTATAATGATAATAATACAGTACTGGGATTAATAATGATACTAATAATAACAGATCAGCAGTAGCTTGCAGTTACACAGTGCTTACTGGTACCAGAAACTGTTCTAAGTATTTTGCACGTATTGACTCATTTAACCCCCAGATAACCCCATGGTATAAATTTTAAAGATGCTGAACGTTAGGAACAGAGTAAGCAACCCGTCCAAGTTTACACGGCAGGTAAGTAGCAGGACTAGGATTTAAATCCAGACATATTTCATGTTTTATGTCACTAACCATGTTTACGGTCTTTATGTAATAGAGTTTCTTTGCATTTCTAAATCCGATTCTGACCTAATGGCTAAGCCTAAGCTGATACCAGCCAGCCTTTGTGCTCTAACTTTCTCATCTTTTCTGGAGACTCGCCTTTTATGGAACACATAATGCCACGTGGTCCTTGACAGATGTATGAAAAGGAGGAATTCTGAGAAATGGATCCATTATGCATATGTGGCATCGTGGTTGTATTTGCTCTGAACCTTCACAGGGCTGTATCTCATTATATGCCACCATTTCCGTGGATTAATATATATATATGCAGTGTGAAACGCACCAAAACTTTGGATTTTTCAAGAAATAATGCTAGCAACAGGTTAGGAATATTCTTCAAAAACGGTTGTCTCAAGAAACAAATTGTATTTGTTTTTTTTTTTAAATGTCACCATAAATGTCCCCGCACCACCGCTTACTTTAGTCCGTAGCAAAGGAGGAAAGAAAATTGACCAGGAGTCTCCAGATCCAGCTAGTGTTAGAAATTGCCAGTGTTAGCATCTCAGCCACCTAGTGGTGGGACCAGATCTATCCCTGTTTCTCCACCAAAGAAAAGAAGCAGCTACCACGTTGCCAATTAACCCGGGGTACAAATGCAGGCACCTACAAGCAAAACTGTGAGGACGCAGAATTGGCTTTTATTTATTTATTTTTTTTTTTTGCGGTACGCGGGCCTCTCACTGTTGTGGCCTCTCCCGCTGTGGAGCACAGGCTCCGGAAGCGCAGGCTCAGTGGCCATGGCTCACGGGCCCAGCCGCTCCGCAGCATGTGGGATCCTCCCGGACCGGGGTACGAACCCGTGTCCCCTGCATCGGCAGGCGGACTCTCAACCACTGTGCCACCAGGGAGGCCCCAGAATTGGCTTTTAGATCTGGACCTTCTGTGGTGTTTTTCCCTCACCACTGCTACCCTTACTCTGATTCTTTTCTTCCACTTGAGTCACCTCAGTGGGTTTAGGCTCTGCTCTCTCCACTCCGCTTCGTCCCATCCAGACTTGCTCTCAGAAGGGATCTGCAAAATTTAGTCACGCTCAGATATTCATGAACGATAAGGATAAAAGTGTCAGATATCAGGTAACTAAGTCTTAAAACCAAGTCAGTGGAGGCTTTGGCTCAAAAACTTGCATCATCCACAAAAAGCCACCACCAGGTACCCGGTTTTCTCTCAGTAGGGATCTGCGCTCTATTCTGGAGACCTTCATGCAGTCAACATAGAGGAATGTTCCATGTGTGCTGTCTTATCCTCCCCATCGAAGTCATCCAGCAGCCCGACCTTGGTGGACACGGAGCCTATCATGGCCACACTCAACATCGGATCACTTCGGATTAGCTGCTCAGCCCAGACACCCTCAGAGCCACGTAAGAACAATACCCTGACGGGAAGAGGCTAGAGAGAATGGGATCAGGAAGAATTAACTCCTCTCTGAAAAACTTTAATGATGGAGAGGAGGAGAGGTTGGGCCAAATGACCTATAAAATCCCGTCCAGCTCTGAGAATTCTGTACTAGAATTAGTGGACAGTTGAGTCCTTGGGAATCCTAGTCAAATGAAAAATGATGTCCATCTTCTAAATGGAATGCACATAACACTGTTTTTCTCCCATCTTAAAGAAGATCATGGAGTTGTAAGTGCTGTTATTGTTATGAATCAAATATCAGTGAGCATAGCCATTGGTATTTTATTATCATTAACAACAGGTGTTACTATTGTTGATCGGCTCTCATTGGATCCTGTAGGTGTTCAAGTTACTATTCCTAGTTTTGTGGGTGGGAGGATGAAGCACACTGTGTTCTACCACACTCTTTGTGGGCTAGACTACAAAAAAATTAGTCCAGTCTTTGGTGGGTGAGCTTTGGTGGGTGAGCCAGCTACCTCACAGACCCTCACTAAACAACCAAACACCTCTCAGCACCCAGAATTTCAGGGTTTTTTGCAAATAAATAAATAATAATAATAGCAAAGCACTTCCTGAATATCAAAGGGCATTGAAAATCCCGACTAAGGAAGTGGGAGCCATACCTCTGCTGAGCTAATCTGAAGATGTATAAAAATGCCTCTGTGTTCTGCATGTCAGTCCTTAGCTTAGCAATTAGGGTCACTCAGATTTACACAAGATTTGTGTGTGGGTTGAGTGTGTGTGTGTGTTTGCATCATGCTTGCAACTTTCTAAAATTGGACAGAAAAGTATTCACTGTGTAGGCGGTATCATCAATGTAGAAATGAAAAATGCCCACTGAGTAAAAGCAAAGGGTAAGCTGACAACACCGTAAGCCACCTAGCTAATCATTGGGTGACTTGTCCTTCCTATTATCATTTTTTAAAATCTCACATCCTATATAGGCTAAAAAGATATAAACCTATGATTTTTTTTTTTTTTTGCGGTCCGTGGGCCTCTCACTGTTGTGGCCTCTCCCATTGCAGAGCACAGGCTCCGGACGCGCAGGCTCAGCGGCCATGGCTCACGGGCCCAGCCGCTCTGCGGCATGTGGGATCTTCCCGGACCGGGGCACGAACCCGCGTCCCCTGCATCGGCAGGTGGACTCTCAACCACTGCACCACCAGGGAAGCCCTAAACCTATGATTTTAATTCTGGTTTCTTTTATATCTGGTGATTCTCATCCTTTCACTTATTCATTTATTCATTCAACAAGAATACATTGATTTTGTATGTGTCACATACTCTGCTAAACTGACAGGATTGGTAGGAGGAAATACAGGAGAGAGGGGAAAAGGGTTGGGAAGAAGGAAGAGAAAATGAAAGAATGTCACAGTATTTGAGTCACCATGCAGTGTGAGTAGGTGCTCTCCCCAACGCAAAAGGGAAAGTTTAGGGAAGAACATATTGTGTAGACCTGGCACCTTTCCTTGTGTGGATGTCATCGTACCCATTTGTGTGACAGGAAATAGAGGTCCAGACAGGCTCTCCTGTGCTACCTAACACAGGAAGCAGCAGTAGAGTTACATTCTGAGCACATAGGAATAGCCAAGGACCGTCACTCAGAAACCTCGCCCATTACTCCAGCATCACAGGAATCTACCTGGAGTTTGCATGTAGAAATTCCCAACCCTCAGGGAAGCCTGTTTGGTTCTCTTAACCATTCTTCCTATCTCATACTAATACTCCTCTTGCAGCATACCAAGCAGGTGGCAATGGGAATGCCCACCTCCAAGAATTATCAGTATAAAGGATTGTGAAATTCTGCCAGGAGGGAGAAAACATCTTCCACGCTGAGCAATTTTCTATCCCTTCTTCTGAGACAGTGGTTCTCAACCAGGGGCGGTTTTGACCCCAGAGGTTGTCTGACAATGTCCGGAGACAGCCTTGGTTGTCACAACTTGGCGGGATGCTGTTGGCATCTAGTGCGTAGAAGTCAGAGATGCTGCTAAATATTCTACAGTGCACAGGTGCAATATGTCAATAGGACCAAAATTGAGAGCTCTCACTCTGACATATCTGCTGAGTCTTTTGTGGGCTCAGCGGGCTTTCCCACATCTTCATGGTCATGACAAGGTTACACGTAGAATCCATCTAGGACCACCAAGGCTATTCCATACAGTGGTTCACCAAGGGATGTTGGAGGTGGGGGGACAGCAAGAAGGAGGACTCTCCAAAGGACCAGGCCTCCTGGACATCCCCACGGAAAACTTTAGGTTTCTCACTGATGCTCTAATTACTGCCCTGTCACGTCACAAGGACAGGTTGGCAAACCTAGGTACTGAACTAAATAATCTGTGGCATAATCTAAACATATAACAGTAATTAAGTCTGACAACTTAATGTGCTCTTGAAATTTAAATGTAAAGTAGTAATCTACAATTAAGCAATCTTTTGCTTAATAATAGCACCCTGCCAGCCTGGAAGAATTTCAGGTAAAATACTGTGTGCTACTAGGTAGCAAAAATATTGACACTAGTAAAATGTACCCAGGCTATGATCTGACACATATTCAAATTAACCGTTGCTCTACCAGAAAAGATGGAGTTAAGGCGGAAATTCTGTCGCTGTCCTCCAGCCAGTGTCGGAGCAGTTATGCAGTTACATCAGCTGATGTGAACCTGTCTCTACCCAATAAGCACATTTGACTCTGAAAGTCAGGATATTCCGAGCCCGTTATTAGAGGGAACTGAAATCAGAAAGTGCAGCTCAGAGGAGAAGTTTCCCCTTTGAGGGAAACTGATCTCAATATTTTATTGAAATTGTCAACCAAACCTTATGTATTTTAATATATATAAAGGGAATGGGCATGGGCTTTGAACTTGGTGCCAGTTTGGGTGTGAAAACCCATCCATCCTTTACAAACCATGTAGCCTTGGGCAAAGCATGTAGACCCTGAGTCAGTTTCGTCATCTTCAAAGGTGATCTAACTCGACTTAATTCACAGGTTTGAGGGCACCGTGGTGTCATTCTTACCTCCCAGCTCACAGCAGCCCGAGGGATCTTTTACAAACATTTATTGGATAATGGCAGTTTTCCCCTTTAGACCCTGTAATGGTGACTCATGACAATTGCAGGAAAATCATGTAGGGTCTTGCAGGCCAGTAGGGAGCCTGAACTTCCTCCTTCGGTCTGTTTATACTGGCTCTTTCCTGCCTTAAGTTCCTTATCCCATTCCCTCTGTCTGGATGGCTTTTGCTCATCACTCAGGATGACATTCCAATGTCAGAGAAGCCTCTTCAAACTCTGTCTAAGGGCACCTCCCCAGGTCACTCACTGGCCCCTGAAAGTTGGGTTTTTTCACAGTCCTCATCACTATCTGAAAACATTTTGTGTTTGCAACATACGGTAACCGGGGCAGGGACGGTTCATAGTCCTAGTCTGCAGTCGATACTCTTTAAAGATCTGTGGAGGGAGGATAGCAAGGAAGGAGAGGTACCTAGAGCAGATAAAGCATCTTGCACGTTTCTGAGAATAAAGTAGAATCTCATTTCCCCCAAGTCTCCCTGCATTATGAAAATCCCAGAAGTTTGTTCAGGAAAAACAGTTGAAGGTATTCAGATCCCATCATCAGTAAGATTTCCCAGTGAGTTTGGAGATGTGGTCTCCAGCCACCACGCAAACCCTCCTCTTCAATAGATGCGTGGACGAGGTTAGCCCCCGGGGCCTCTGTTTCCTCACCTGAAGCTAAAGCGTTTTGCTAAAGTCCTAAGGCCATTTCTAGTTCTAACTGTAAGCTACACGTGTTGGGCTCCTCCTGTGGCGCTTCCGTGTTTACCGTGAATCTACCTGGAAGCATGACTCAGAATTTTAGTGGCCATCAGAAATGTATTCAGCTCTACTCTGCGTGAACAAGAAGCGGCACTTTTATGGACTGTTTCTTGGGGAGATGGGAGAGGTGATAAGTACAGGAAGGCGCCTACATACGCACCTTCAAGTTGAAAACGTCCGAAGATGCGAACGTGCATCTGGTTCCAGCAAGGAGCCAGATCCTGTGCCATCCGCGTCAGGCGTGAGGGAAATGGCAGCTTGCCCTCCATCTCCTATTGCTGACAATCCTTCAGCTCTACCATCTCCCACCTCCTCTCCCTCCTCCTGTCAGTAGCTCTTCTTGCCTGTTCACTCGATGCCAGCCCCCGTGTGCCAGCTGTTGTTCTGTACTACTGTACTTTTCAAGGTACTGTACTGGAAGATAAAAAAGGATTTCTTTATTTTCTGTGTTTTTTTTATGTATTATCTGTGTGAAAGGTATTATAAACCTACTACAGTACAGTGCTATATAGCTGATTGCGTTAGCTGGGCTAACTTTGTTGGACTTAACGAACAAATTAGACTTATGAACATGCTCTCGGAATGAAACTTGCCTGTATGTAGGGAACTTACTACATTGTAGAGCATAGCATTCTCTCTGGGAACAAAACCTCCCTTTGGATCTCCTCTTTCCCCCGTCCCCATCTCAGTGGCCAGTTTCCCCACCCCCGTCCCTTTGTCTGTCTCTCAGGCTGTCTGTCTGACCCACTGGCTCATCTCACCCACCCTCCCCTACCACTTACCTGGCTTGGGAAACAAAAGATCCTCCACATATTTCACCTTCTTCAAGGCAGCAGAGAATCTGAATGACAAGCAGAATGTTAACTTTCACAGTATTATTTCCCTGTTACATACATAGAATCCTCAGAAAAGTTCAAGAAAGGTAAGCAGTAGTTTTAAAGCATAACTTTTGATGAGATCATCATGTGTTTGGTTTGGTTTGGTTGTTTTTTTTTTTAATCAGGATCCTAGTTTCCTCTTTCTCTTTTCCCTTTTCTTTCTTTACCTTTCCTGGGGGTGTTTAACTTGGAGACCAAAACTCTGGGGTCATCCTTGTTTTTGAACAGGTTCAAAACAGGTTTTGGACAGGTTTCCTCACCTGTCCGCGCATGCTAGGGCTGTGTTCCAGACCAGAGCCGGGCATGGAATCTCTTTGGGATTCGAGGCTCGCAGAGGGAGATGAAGGGCCTCACCTCCTAAGGCAGGAGCTGAATGTGAAGACAGAGGCCCCATGACCTCCCACCCCAGTCTTTAAGGAACTCCCAAGACATTAGGGGTTGGGGAGGCCAGCCAGAGTTGGGAGGAAGAGACAATCTTGCTGAAGAAGAAAGAGACCCTCAGCCCAGAGAGGATCTCCAAGAGGCAGAAGCACCAGGAGCCAGTAAACCAGTCGCTGTGCCTCCACAGGCTCTCCTGGGGCAGCACCTCCTGTTTATTCAGTTTCTTGAAGGTTCTACAAGCAAGTGCATGTAGTTTGAGGCACTGCCTGCCTGAGCCGTCACCCGGCACTCCCAGTCGGTAGACAACAATTGGATGTAACTTAGGCTGCCGATAAGCAACTACAGGGAGAACGTCACCCTTTTTGTAATTCACTTGAAGTGCCATTTAGAAAACATCCTACACACACACACACACACACACACACACACCAAACTTCTGGAAAGGAGAGGCTGAGGCCATTTTTTTTCTAAATATAGAGAAAGATTTGGGATTTGGGCATGAGAGTCACTTTGCTAAGATAAAGCCTCAAGCGCCACGGTGTGCTTCCGCATCCTTGTCTGTGTCGCAAGCCACTTCGTTTGCATCTGTCCATCTCATCATCCCTCCCTTGTTGCTGTCTGTGTCTACAGGGTGTACTCGGTGCTTCAGTGACAATCCCGGGAAGTCAAAGTACCGAAGGATCCCCATCCTCACTGAACTGAGTAAGTTGTGTTTCCAGGACAGAATTCAAGGGAGAAGTCTTTGTATCTGTATTTGATGTCCCAAGGGTGTCTTTAGGATCCACAGTCAAAGGACTGAGGACCAGAATGGGGCCCAGAGACCATTATGTGTTTGACTGGCTGTTATATTGGGCTTTTACCTGTTTGGTGACGTTGACATCCTCCAGCAGAGCCTGTCATATCTGGGTGTCAGGGTGCAGGAGTAGCTCCTGCCTTCTCCGTTCTTCCAGGGGAGGGGATGTGGATTTGAAAACTGCAAGAAGGGCTCTCCCTAAACCAACTTCTCTACCCGTCAGACGTCTTCCTCTCCTGCGGTGCTACCAGGGCAGGCACTAGAGTGAGGCAGGTGAGGCCCCCAGGGTGTAGACTTTAAGGAAAGGCTCACTCTTGGGGGTCTTTAAATTTTGTGTCCCTTGTGTCTTCTTAATCCCAGCCCTGAGCGGTGCTCTTCTAAAATGGAAATACTCCATGCAGAAATAACAGGATGAGCTGTTATCTCTCATCAACACCTTATGGAAAACGCACGTATATGAAACTTTCCTAGACGTGAGGAGCCCTGGGGGCAGCAAGAAGGGCAGGGAAGGCAGGTGCCTGTGTGCATTGTTTGTGATTCACCAGGGTAGACACTGGGATTTAATACTGATAATAGTTGGTGAGCAAAAGGGAAGTTACCGAAGAGGGGGTTTTACCTTTAACACAGTTTGGACCAACTCAAAGATGATCTCTAAAGCTGCTCCTGGGCGTGAGATTTGACTCGATTCCGTAGCGTAGCAGACATTTTAGTGGGATTTTTATGATTCAGCATGTGTAAGCTGAGGGAGATTTATACCCAACTAGATGAGCAGACCTCATAGTCCCAGAAATGAAGCAGGCAGACAGAGAGAGGAGCCAGTAGGTGACACCACCAGATGATTTGGGAGTGGCAGTGCAGCAGGTGGGCAACAGTCTAGCCACCCTGGATCCCAGAACTGCAGCTCTCCAAATCCACCTTTGAAGATCTCAGATCCCTTGAGCTGACTTGTACCTGGCAGCCTATCTGTAACCACCCTAAAGCTGATGGCTGCAGTTCTTACTTATATTTCATTTTTAGTTTGCTACCGTTCTGAGCCGTCTCTGACTCCGAGGTGACACTGAGGGCATTAATCAGAAGACTGCCATGTAAGTTAGAGTGGTCAGGAGGGACCAGCCAGCTTCTCACCGGCCTCAGAAATGCATCTGGTCACTCTCCAGGGATGTACAGCTTTGTTCAAGGAAAGACTTTCTGGCACCAGGCAGCGCCTGTCAAATTAGCCTAACAAATCACCTGCCAGCTCACTCAGTTTCCGTTCTTTGGCCACAGCAAGGAAGGGTCACAGTGACATGAGAGCTGCAGGTCTGCTGGCCAGCACTCTGGTCCAGAGTGTACAGTGGCCTGCAGGAAAATGTCTGGGGATGCTGAGCCACTGGTGTAGGATGACACGGCAAGATCTGGACAAAGGCTCCTGGGGTGTGGGTGTGCATGTGTGTGTGTGTGTGGAGGGTTGGCAGTGCAAGAAGAGGAATGTTTGTGCACATAGGAAATGTGGGTTGATACTAGTCATACCTCACTCATCTTTTATAAAGATGCGTAGTTCTCGGAAGAAAATGATTCCTTAATACCAGCAGTCTATCACTTCCCCCAAATGTACTAAGGAATAATTTTAAGAATTAGAGACTAATGCAGTCTTAGTTAGGAACATACTCTGAGTTGTATGTCCAGTAGATTTGCTTGGATCTGTAATATGACGGTCAAGAAGTTTGAAGGGTCTAAGACTTAAGGCTGCTTGCAAACTAACAGGTTCATCTGCCCAGTTTCACGGATGTGGACAGAAGATGAGAGACCACTGGGTCAGAGACGATGAACAGTTTATTACTCACGTCAATAGCAGTAGCCAGAGAATCATCACTTTTGTGCTGGCTTCCCAAGCCCTCGTTCCCACAGGAGGACATGAAAAGGTCCAGGTGATACCCGGACCCACCATGAATTGCTTTGTAAGAGAGGAACCCTGAGCTTCGGGAACCAGCATCTTTTATAATGGGCAGTAAGCATGCCTTCCCTTTGCTCTGGTAGGAGATATCACTATCTTCCAGTGCTATTCTCTATACAAACATTTTTGAAGCTGTAATCTTGGAACAAAGGCAGTCAGCGCCTCTGCTGTCCTCATAGAAATGACGGATTTCCCTGACTACAGAGGCTGCCTACAGGGGGTCTGAGTTGCAGCCTGGGGCCAGCATAGGTTTGCTAATGGATAACTTGGCCACTGCTGCACAGGTCTGACTAGGATGATTCTTGAAGCCCTTGCTGCTTAAAGTGTAGTCCATGAACCAGCAGCAGGAGCATCTGCAAGCTTGTTGGACGCGCAGACTCTCAGGCCCCACCTTAGACCCAGTTAGACCCAGAATCTAGATTATAACAAGATCCCCAGTTGATTCACAGGCACATTAAATTTTGAGAGGCACTGATTAACCCGTTCTGGGCCCAAATAACTCTTAAGGACCCAAGTGAATACCACGCCATCTGTGACATAGCGTACGGAGAAAAAGACAATAACGGGGGTGAGCAGATGTTCCTATTTATGTCTCTTGTCCCTGTGCGATTATGTGAAGTGTCCCCTTTTTCTTCCAGAAGTGTCCTGTCTTGAAAGTTAAATGATTAAGGGTGACATTCTGGACACTTGCTTGGAGAAACTGAGCCTGAGGTACAAGGATATCTCCTTGATGATGAAGGTCCCCAAGCGGGCTTCCCATCTTCAGGGGATGAAGATATTAATACTTGGAAAGAAAAAACTATATACTGCAGTTGAGGCAGGTCCCACTTTGACCCTAAAGTAGGCATCAAATCCTTTGAGCGATGGTCCCTCCTTGGCCTGCCTGGTCCGGAAGTCCTGTATCCTTCATCTTGTCTGCCTGCCTTTCCTTTTTGCCTCTTTCACTTGCAGAAAATCCTTCCAACATGCACTTTATTGAACAGCTCGGTGGGATGGAAGGAGACCTCTCGGGAGTGAGCCTGCACCTCAGCACGTCCTTTGCCACCGGCACTGTCTTTTCCGGCAGCTTCTTGGATTCCCTCCTGGCCACGGTAGGTGCGCTGAAGCCAAGGAGCCCCACGACCAAGACCCTGACGCAGGGAGAGTGCGTGGCTCAGGACTCGGGTGGATGATGCTAACTAACGCCTCGCAATTCTGCGTGCTTGTTGATTTTCCAGAAAAGCTTGTCCACGCACATAATTTCACCTTTGCTCATGACTACCTGGCAAGGGAAGCCAAATGCTCACATTTTAAAAATTAAAAACATGAAGCCCTTAGAGCCAGAACACTCAATCCCGGGAGGAATGAGCACATCACAGAACCCACCTTTCAGCTTCAAGTGCATCTTGGCTGACCAGGCTCTTTGGCGTCAGAGCTTGGGCGGTGATCCTGCTTTCTCTTCTCTCTCAAATATCCCCAAGCTATACAGAAATCGTCCATGAAAGGATGCGGGGTTCGAGGAAAGGGCTTTGTTTCTTTGGCCTTTGGTGGTGTGAGTTTTATTCAGAGCTGAGTCCAGTCTCCCTCCACGTTGCCCCTCTTGTGAGATGCATTTTTTTTTTTTTTTTTTTTTTTTTGCGGTACGTGGGCCTCTCACCATTGTGGCCTCTCCCGTTGCAGAGCACAGGCTCTGGACGCGCAGGCTTAGCGGCCATGGCTCACACGCCCAGCCGCTCCGCGGCACGTGGGATCTTCCCAGACCGGGGCACGAACCCGCGTCCCCTGTATCGGCAGGCGGACTCCCAACCACTGCGCCACCAGGGAAGCCCCTGGGATGCATTTTTGCCTGCACGGTCATTCTTTCCCTGAGCAGTTCCCTTGCATGGATTGTAGGATTTCCATGAGTAGAATTTATTCATTGCGTGAATGCCTATTGAACACCTTGTAGGGTGCTGTCCTAGGTGCTGAGGACACAGCAGTGATGAAACAGACCAGTCTCTGCCCATGTGGAGCTCATGCCCATGGAGGAGGTTGATACACACATGATAAGCATTATGTCAGATAGATAGAAGGGTCACGGTGATGTGAGATAGGACGTGTAGGGTTTGCGGAAGGAGTTGAAAGTTCAATAAGGCGGCCTAGGAAGGCAGCCCTGAGGAGGCGGTATGTGAGTCAAGTCCTGGGAACAGGAGAGCACGTGCCTTTCTGATCTTTGGGGAAGAAACATTCCAGGCAGAGGGAAGGTCAGGTGGGAGCATTCCCAGGGTTTCAAGGAATTTGACTAAACCTTAGGAAATCTGTGCGTAGCCATTTGTGAATGGCTGCAAGAACTCCTGCGGGGGAAATGCTTGTAACCCACTCCCTCACAGATGCCTCCTACCCAGATGTTCCAAGAGAAGGGCTGCAAAAAGGCTGAACATCTATGCACAGATGCTGACACAGCACAAGGCTCTGAGCACAGTTTGCTAGACTGGCTGCCGTCTGGAATTCTGCATAGAAGAGGCATCATTCCTGAATCGTATAAGTGCCTCAGAAGTGCAGTTTGCATTTTAGGGGAGCGTGGTCAGGGCTCACGCATCGCCCTTATGGGCTCAGAGGATTCTGTTGCCCGGCTCGGCTCTGTCTCCCTAAGCCTTTCGGGAGAGGCTCCTCATAAACCCCGTTGAGCTCTCAGAAAGATAATACCGTGTCAGTGACCGTTTAACATTAAACAGGCTGATAGACTACGAATTTCCTAAATTAAGCAGGATTCAGCCTTGACTGAGCCAGAGAGAGAGAGTCAGTGAGGGAAGTCAGGTCACTTTCCTGGAAAGGTAGCTCTGTCAGGGAAAGGATTTTAAAACCCTGCCTGTCATGGATACTTCAGTTACCCTGCCCATAATTAGGGACCGGAGTGTCAGGCAGGAGGTGACGTGGTGAGCTGGATCTGTCTGCAGGACACATTTTAGAAGGGTTTAAGGTCCCCGTCCTCTTCAGAGATCCCTAGACAGCAGGCAGCTTTGTGACTTAAACTCCAGCCTCGGTTAAACTCCACTGGCTCACACAGGTAGGAGCAAAGTCACAGACTCTATTTCGACTTAGTGGGAGGAGCAGGCTGGGCAGTGAGGACCGAGAGAGTGTCCAGCAATATGCACATCCCATGAGCCAGCACGGGTAACACGAACTTGGTGATGAGGCTTCTCAACACTCACCTTATGAGAGTGACCCTGCGACCTCTTTGAGGAGTGCCCCTTCCTCCCAGGCTGCCTTCAGCCGTTGTGTCTCATTCTGCTGGAAAATGAAATTAGCTGTGTAAAAATTCAGGAGTCTATTCTGAGGCTCAATGGTGAAGTCTGTGGGAGAGAGAGAAAGCTACACATGGTGGCCTGGGATGGGGGACAGTCACATGAGGTCACAAGCCGCATTGGACCCTCAGCCTGCCCTTGGGGACTCCTGGGAAGTGCCTGGCTTTGGACTGGCACTTGGTCGTCTGACGAGGCCGTGAGGACGGCAGTGGAGCTTCAGGGTACAAGGCATCCTGTATGTCAAGGGGGCTGGCTTGGAACTTGAACTTCTTAATCTCTACCTAGTGACCTCCTGCCCCAGCTCTCAAATCCTTGATGACGAATGGCCCAGCAAAACGAACACACTTTAACACTGTTTGGAGCTCCAACTCCAAATCTCTGGCCCTGATGAGCTGAATTAGACCCTTGAAAATGCTCAGGGGATGCTGCCCACTTGTTTCCCTCCCCCTGGACCTGGTACTACTGGCTCCACTTGGCTTCTAAGGACGGGGGTGACTTTCTATCATATCAGCCACAAAGAAAGAAAGAGCCCAGGGGTCAGGGCTGAGCCTCCGGTTTCACTGTGTCTGCTCATCCAAGGACAGTTTGGTCTTGGCTGGCCTCCTGACCTTCCACCTGCTCACTGGTGGTGAGAGCAGTAGCCTCTGCGAAGAAGAGAACATTTATATCCTCTCGCACTGAAACCATCTGGGGTCACTGTGGTGGCCCCACAATGTGTGTGCAGCACACCACTTCATTCTCCATACGTATCGGAGCGTGTCCTTGTGCAGGCTTGCGGGAGGAGGGCCAAGGTCCCGATCTCCCCATAAAGCTAGGGTGGCAGTCACGGGCCCTGGGTCATCACTCCCTCCATCACATGCCCACGGCAGATACCACTGACACTCACGGGTCTCTCCCTCCGCATCACACCTGCGAGTCTTTACCAGCACAGACCTTGAGGCGGCATCTTCCAGCGGTTTCACTGTTGAGATAATAATTAGAGCAATATCTGGGGTAAGAACAATGGTAACATCATCTCTCAGGCACTTACTTAAGGTCTTTGCTGAATGCGTTACCTGCAGTTTAATTGTCCCGTCAACCTAACCAAGAGGATACAGTTGCTAGCCTTGTTTTACAGATCAAGACTCCGAAGCCTAGAGGGGTGACTAATGTGCCAAAGGTCACAGCACTTACAGATGACAAGTTGGTTTTCAGACCCAAATTCCTAAGGTTCCAGTGACAGACCAAATCCATTACGACCAAATCCACTGCCTCTCCAGAAGGCTCTTTCTGTGATTACGAGTGTCCTTTCAATACACTGAGGCTGAAGTTCTACTTGAAGGAATCTGCCTCCCGGGGTGCTCCAGAGTCCCTGAGGGATGAGCAGGGAGGAGAAGACCAGGGTGCACCCACCCTCCCCAGTGGCCACCCACCCCTTCCCCCCAGTCAGAACTACTCTACTCTCATCTGGGTCTCATACGAGGCTCCTGCATGAGATTTGATTCAAAGAAGGACTTCTGTTGTTGAGAAGACTAAAAACCACTGCCTAGAAGTTATAGAGAATCTGACCAACAGAGAGGCATAAAATAAGAGAGCCACATTCCTGTTCTCTGTCTTCCAAGTCAAGTCTCCAGCTCCCAGTTGGGAGTCTTGTCCGGGAGACAGGAGTCAGCCATTCCACCCCATTTTGCACATCCATTTTGTCCCATAATTTCCCTCCCCAAGAAACATCTTCCAGATTCGGGTCTTCCCACCTGCCGTCCAGCTTGATGCTCCAAGAGGTCTGTTTCCCATGGCTGCACAGTCAGAGGTTATGCTTAGAATCAAAATGTGTGTTTCCCTGGTGGCCATCCTCTGCAGAAGGGAAAGGCTGTGGACTGGTGCGTTCCGAACAGGCTCCCTCAGGATAAAGGGGGCTGACACCTCAGCAGCTTCTGGAACAGGATGAGGTCACCTCCTTGATTCGCGTCTCAGTGAACTCTGTTTCGACCTAATATTGCGGGGCCTTCTCTTCCTTCTCACCTGTCCCTGGAAAACTGCACTGTGCTTCCAGGTGGCCCGTAAGAAACACAAGGAGGATGAACTCACAGGTCCCGAGGAGAGAACAAAGCCTGAAAAATGTGGCGTGAACTTGTCACCGCCTGAAAGTACTGAAGTTCTGTTTTAGATTGTCATGTAGTTTTCCCCTTCTATCCCCTGATATCCCTGTGATTTTTTTTTCCAAGATAAAAATAATGGATTTTCCCTCCAAATCTTCTGATTCAGCCAACACTATGGCTTCAAGTATCCCCTGGAATACTACTGTAAACTCCTGGCCCAGGTGGAGAAACATGCCCCTAAGGTGTAATTCGGATTTACTTTTAACCCTCAGCTCAATGCTGTATAAAAATATGGAGGGCTCCCCTGGTGGCACAGTGGTTGAGAGTCCGCCTGCTGATGCAGGGGACACGGGTTCGTGCCCCGGTCCGGGAAGATTCCACGTGCCGCGGAGCGGCTGGGCCCGTGAGCCATGGCCGCTGAGCCTGCGCATCCGGAGCCTGTGCTCTGCAACGGGAGAGGCCACAACAGTGAGAGGCCCGCGTACCGCAAAAAAATTAAAATTAAATAAGAATATGGAGGCGCACTCAGACCCCCCCATATGGGAGCAGGACTCCCATATGGCTTTATAACAATAGGATTTCAAACCTGGACATGAAGTAGGGAGCATTTTCCTTTACTTATAAGGGAGGTAAGGAAAATAAGAAAAGTTACCTGGCTTGAGATTTCAAGTTCACTCAGCTGGTTAGTGGCAGTTTTCCTACCATATAGCCTCATTCTCAACTTAGAAGTATTTCTCAGAAAATGTGGGCCTTAAGACTTTTTGAGATTCTCAGAATTAAAAGTAGTGAGTGGCCAGGATGTTAGTATCTATGTTATTAAGGAGTAATATGAGAGAAACCTCAAACTCCACTGTAGCTAAAAGCTAAAACACTTTGGGCTGCAACATTTTCAAGCATCAGAAGTTCGAATTCTGATTGAACTGATTACATTAGATATTAGAGATATTAGATATTAGATAATATAAATCTGAGTATATTAGAAACACTATTCAAGTTTAGAAGTCCTAAAATGTTTCATGCACATTTCAACTTTCATATTTTCTTGAGAAAGAAGAAAAGAATGAAAAACCGAAAAAGGAGAGAAGGGAGAGAGGGAGGGAAGGAGGGAGGAAAGAAAAAAGAGACCCATAATGGCAGTGCCATGGAACCCCAAATAATAAGAATGTAAGATGAGCTCAGAATAAGGGTGACATGTAAATCCCATAATTTTCCCCAATATAGAATTGCAAGCCTTTTGATGTCAAAACTGAAGAAATGATAGGGTCAAAAGCTAGCCCTCTCTCTGTTAAATATGTAAAGTACATGTTTCCCTAGAGGCATCGACACCAGGATAACCCTAGAAATTACACCTTTTTTTTTTTAATCAATGGAGAAATATTCTAACAGCATTATGTTTGATCATTCTACATTACGGCCACTTGTTCTTAAACGGATTGTGGTCCAATCTGGATTTACCTCCTCCACTCCCTCCTGGATTTCAGGGGGCCAGATCCATAAGACCCTTCTGGGTAGAGGATGCAACGGGGAGGGAATATACGGAGGTGACTGTCAGTCAGGAGGTTCGTTCTTTCAGTCTGGACATTAGGATGGAGAAGGTGTTTGAAGTCATCTTTAATCTGAAAAATATTGTAAAAGTCCTTTTCTTTTTATTTTCTCTTAATTTACATAGATTATATTATTTCCTAGGTCGCCTTCTCCAGTGGGCTCTACATTTTGCTAACAGTATTGGTTTATTTGTTAAAATTCAACCGCCAGTTGCACTCAATATTCTGACAGCTGTTTTTGCACTCAGTTTTTAAAAATCATTTGTAATAATTGTTTGCAGCAACCTTTGCACTGAATATTCTTACACCTGCCTGGTCCAATGTGCTCTTGAAGACGTGAATGTTAAGTAGACAAAGTCTGTCTGAAAGAACACATCATTTAAGGCCTGTTGCTCAGAGTGTAATTTGAGGACCACCAGTGTCAAAACTACCAGAGGTGCCCTTTAAATTCTGATTCCCACTCCCGTACATAAATTCTGATCCAGTAGATCTGGGATCCCAGAAATCGGGTCTCATGAGTATCACTGCAGGTGATCCAGGTACGTGAACACCAGTGTCGAAGACAGCACGATTCAGTGGTATGTGCTGTATATCTCATTGAATCCTGCAAACAGTGCTCAAAGGTGGATATTATCATGTCATCTTCAAAACCATAGAACTATGACTGAGAAAGAATACACGAATTGTCCAAAGGTGTTTCGGTCCGCTAGGATGTGCCAGTCCAAGATTCAAACTCAGGTGTGTTCCGTACAAACAGCTAGCTCTAAAATGCAGAATAATAAAATAGAGTAAAAGCCAGTGGCCATGGGATCACAAAGAAAGGAAAATTTCATTGTGATGAGGCCAGTATAGGGTCTGCCAAGGGGAAAGATGAACCAGATGTTCTAAAGCAAAGGCATGAAGGAGTAAAAGTGTCACGTGAGCAACTGCAGATTGACTAGTGTGCACCGGAGAGAACCATGGCTCATGGAGGTGAGCTCAGAGAGGGAGCTGGTGTCAGATCTTGAGGGCTTTGAAGACCGTGGAAACGAGTCTGAGCTTGGGTTTACTGCAGGTTCAAGGGATGGGTGGTGGGATCTGATTTGCGTTTCTGGACAATCTCTCTGGAAGCATTTTGAGCAATGGATTGTAAATGAGAAAAAGAGTAGTAAAGAGGTGTGTCTCATAACCCAGACTTCAGAAGACAAGTCCCTGAATTGGGGCATGGAGAAAGTGAATGGTAAAATTTCTCAATAACGATGGAAGTCATTCCTATTATTTATAATGAAAACAAAATTACTGATTTTTATGTAGGTGCTATATAACCATGTAAATTCTCATTTCTACTGGAATAAAAGTTTGATTTAGATAAGACAAAGGGTAGGAAATTTAGGACATTATATAGATAATAATGGATTTAAGAAAACCTCATGGGCAATTATTACAATGATATTTCCATGTATGTCACTGCCTAGTCAACACTGAGTGTGTTGGAATCCTTTGGGAAAAGAGTTTAAGAAAATGGCTTGGCTTATTCAGACTCAGGCTACTTTCAAACTAAGTTGACCCACACGTCAAATCGTCAATCTCTGGCTTCATTTTGATGCCAAATATTCTGAAATTCCATTCATTTTATACTCCACACCTACTGTTTTCAAAGTACACCGTAACAACTGTGGGAGATTAAGTTAATACCTGTCCTCAAATAGGTCAGAATCAAAAGGAATATAAGTAGATTCATACCCGGAAGATTCAAGTGTAGACGCCAATAGTAATATAAGTAGCCCCCTAAGGAAACTCTCTAGAAGCCTCTATACATATTTTAAATACATGTTGATGATTATTAGGGTATCTGTGGCCTGATACGCTCCTCTGGTCATTTTTGGAAGCGGGGACACCCTTGGGGTCAGTGTCATGACCCCCTCTTCTCCTACTATTACAGTGTAAGTCCTCCCCAAAAGAGTAGGAACGGGGTCAGTGCTATTTTCTCTGCACTTTGCCTAACCCAGTGCCCTACCCAAACTGCCGGCTTTGGGATGATTTTAATGATAATGAGAGACACTGCTTTGTGCCATCAGATCCATTTCAAACAACGATGCCCACTAAATCGCCACATCTCTCCACCTCCACCTTCTGACTTTGCACATGCCTCGTCCTTGCTTTCCAGGCATTCTACAATTACCATGTTCTGGAATTACTTCAGATGCTGGTGACAGGAGGGATCAGTTCTCAGCTGGAACAACATCTGGATAAGGAAAAGTTCTGTGGGCTGAATGACAGTTACTCTACCGTTTCACCTGGAAGAATGCGGTGTAAGCTGGGGCTTCTGTCCTTAAACCAAACCATTTTGTCAGACATTCAAGTGAGTCAACTCTTCTCGTAGTAAGAGCGTCCTAACCTCCCTGAGTTTTGGAAATTGATCCAACCTGTTTGGGTTCCTAGATCACCTATAGCATATAAATAATAATAATAATGACAAAAATCAATGTAATTTATATTCATAGTGTATTTACAATTTACAGTGCATTTTCACATGATAACTGTTTTTTGCAACAATTCTGAGAGATCAAGCCATTGTTAGTATCCCCATCCTCCGGGTAAAAACATGCACAGGAAGCATCAGAGAGGTCCCATAACTTTGTCCCTTGACAAGGATTTTAATAATAAGTGTAATGTTAATATTCACTGAGCATTTGACCTGGGCCTGTCTGCTTTGTTTGCTTGTTTGTTTTTCACTTAATCTCTCCAAAGGTTTACATGGTAGGCGTCATTATTAATTCCATTGAACAGATTAAGAAGCTGAGGTGCAGAGAAACGAATACTTACCTGAGACCGTATTGCCTACCAGTGACCAAGCAGGGTCCCTCTAAGGCAGTCTGACCCAGGGCCTGTCCACTCTCCCTACGCTTGAACTACTAAAGAAATCTGATCCGGACTTCCCTGGCAGTCCAGTGAATAGGACTCCACGTTTCCAAGGCAGGGGGCACAAGTTCGATCCCTGGCTGGGAAACTAAGACCCCGCATGCTGCGGGGCATGGCCAAAAAAAAAAAGAAAGAAATCTGATCGTGTCACCTGAAATCAGGCAGAAGGATTCCACGTTTGGGCCTAAGAATCTGTCTGGGCTAGCCAGTGAGAAATGCTTGAGCTTTCTTAGTCCTCTGAGCTAACAAACAGTAGATTATAGCAAGGAAGAAAATAATTCTGGCAAATCCCAATGAGGCATCTGGGCATCTGGAGCTCTGTGTCGAGTCCAGGCTGCAGTGAGGAATCTACTGGTCAGCCTGCCTTTTGGTTTAGTTTTGAGTGGCATGGCATTTGATTCCCCGGTGTCACCGTCAGGGGCAGGCCTTTAGAGGGGCCTGAGCAGAGCCCCTTCTTCACAGCCCTCTTCCTGCCTCTGTGTCTGCTGTGTCTCGGCAGGTACTGCCAATAAGGGCGAACCCCACGCTCTGTGCATCTGAATTCCAGGTGCAAACAACATTCCAAAGCTCCCTCCATGGTCCGGTGCTTCGAATTTCTGTGGTCCTGGGTTCCTCATCTCAGGCTGACTTGTGAGTGATTCTAAGCCCAGGACAGCTGCCACTGGCCACTTCCTGTGGGAACCAGAGGTGGCAGCGGACTGGTCAGCCCTTTCTTCTCCATTTATGTCTGGTCCTCTGTTCTTTACCCTGAGGAATCACAGAACTAAACAGACAGTTCTCTTTTGACTTCCCTGAACGCACTGGCTACTGCTTTGGAGCCTGCAGTCTACTCAAGGTGCCTTGTTGGCAGTAGCTTGAGAGCAAGGTCAGGAGGAGGATGAGAAGGCCGCTCTCTCATTGTGTGCCTTAAAAACTGTATTTTCCGGGCTTCCCCGGTGGCGCAGTGGTTGAGAGTCCGCCTGCCGTTGCAGGGGACACGGGTTCGTGCCCCGATCCGGGAAGATCCCACATGCCGCGGAGCGGCTGGGCCCGTGAGCCACGGCCGCTGAGCCTGCGCGTCCGGAGCCTGTGCTCCGCAACAGGAGAGGCCACAACGGTGAGAGGCCCGCGTACCGCAAAAAAAAAAAAAAAAAAAAAATCTGTATTTTCCAACCTGGTGCTCACTGTGACTTCTTGATCGTTACCAAACCAGCAGTAGTAATAAAAACGAGCATAGCCCCTTGCCACACCACGCCCAGACAGGCTCCTGAAAGACCAGAGTCATGAAAACAGCTGCCGGTATTAGATGCTCAAAACTCATGGTCAACCTGATTTCCAGCCCACTTGCTACTGCCACCAGAGAGGTATTAGGAGGGAGCTCTTGGGTCTTCCAGACTTCCACTGGGAGAAAAGGCAAGTGACACTCCAGTAAGTGCTTGTTACAGCTTGATTCGAGTGCCACCAGACGTAAGTTTTTCTCTCTTCTCTCCCCAGCCAAGAAGGACCTTTGGGCAAATATTCTGCGGCTCGTTAGATAACCTTGGAGTCCTGTGCCTCGGCTTGTACCGCATGATAGATGAGGAAGAGCGCAACCCAGAGCACAAAAGGGGAGTGTATGCTGGTGTAGAAGGCGCTGGCCACCGCCCAAGCATGAGGGCCAAAGCGACGTCATTCTGTGTGAAAGAGACGGCCAGAGCTTAGGGCCCCCTGATGCAACAGAGGGTGCTGGGGAAGTAGATAACAGTGTAGGATCAGTATAAATAATATGAATGAACCCTGGTGATTGGGATCCAGGTAGTATTGGCCATGTAAGGAGAAGGGTTTCTCTGTCCCCAGTGAAATCTGAAATGCAGACCCAGATTTTCAGTCAGGGTTCTTTTGTAACTTACCCCCATTGATGCCTGTGCGACTTTTTTAAGCCGAAAAGCCACTGTCCACACTGGAAAGATTTACTTGTTCACTGCCGGACTCGCTGGGTAAATATTTACTGAGTGCCTTTTTTCTAGCCACTGTGCCTTGTCCATGTAAGATACGGGAGTGATGTGTAGAGATTTCAGTTTAAAGAAGATCATTCTGGCAGTAGTGGGGAAGAGAAAGAAAATGTGTGTGGAGGGGAGACGAGAAAAGAAAGGGTACTGGGTAGCAGCTCCAGACAACACAGTAAGGTAGGTCCAGACTAAGAGTCTCGTGGTGGGAACGGGCAGTACTCGGTAGAGAAGGAGAAATTAAAAATAATAGAGTGGAAATGGATCGATGAACCTGTTTCAGGAGGAAGGGGAAGGAAGTCAAATCACTGAAAGCGGAGTAGTCATGAACACGAAGAAAGACAGCTTCTCCGCTCGCAGGAGAAAGGGAGGAAAAGAAAGGATGCCAAGGCAGATCTGGCTGTGGATGAGGGGTGCGCTTAGGGAATGTTTACGTAACACTAGGATTTCTTGGTGATGTGCAGGCATAGCCCTGGCTGAGAGAAAAGAGGGGGAAAGTCTCTAGGGAGTTGAGAAAGACGTAAAGGTACATTAGTCACTGAGGGGAATGGAAAAAGGAGTTTACTGTGCATCTGTAGAAGCAACACTGCAAAGGGAAAGGACAGGGGATGGAAATAGCCTGAAGAGCGGATGTAACCCAAGAGTAAGGAAATGAGAGAAAGAACGAGGGGAAGTTGTGGTCAGAGACTGATTTATTGAAGGGTGAGATTTTAGAGGCAGGATGTGTCAGGAAGTTACAACAGCAGTATGTGGTCAGGAAAGTGGTTGGGAGATAAAGATCACTGGGGAGTGGAAATCAAAGAAATTGGTCTGCGTGTTGGAGTCGTAAATCACGGAGACACTGCAGGCACATAAGGTGACGGTGGCACTAGAGTTTGAAAGAAAAAGTGTCCCATGTGCCAAAGGCCTAAATAAACATGGAGGTGTGTGGATAACACTGAGGTGACTCAAGAGGAGGGTGGTAAGGCTGTAGAGCATGGACCACAACGATGCGGGGAGCAGGGATGCTCTGGAAGCAGCACTCGGAAGCCTGAAAGATGCTGACCTCCCACCCCCGTCTCTGTCTGTCTGCCTGTGACTGACCCCCAACACCTCTGGAAAACCTGTGGACCGTGGTAATTGGGAGAAGGTGTAGCCCATACTTGGGCGGACCTCAGGGAAGGAAATGATATTCCTGTTTGAAAGAGAGTATGTGGTTACAGCAGATCTTGTTTAGAATATCACAGAGGTTACAGGGGACTCAGTGGGCGAGAGGGAAGTGGGAAGATTATTCAGTGAAAGATCAGTGGTGACTTGTGATGGGTGCTTAGGGAAGAAGAGGTGATTATTCGGGGCAACACTGGAAGTCATGCAGGGTTCTGCTGCCTCAGCGTTCTGACAGGAACACTGGCGTCTTCATGAATCTGCCTCATGTTCTCTGAGGATTTGCCGTGTGCCTGATTTCCTGCCGAGACATCCTGCTTCTCTGCAGTCTGTCCGCGCAGGTCCAGGCTCTGGGTGATCCTTGAAACTCATTGACTCACTATTTGCTTACCCGTCAAGGTTTCAAATAAACCTTTGGTTACTTCTCTTTTTCCTCCATTGGGCAACCTACATTCTGTGGGAAAGTTGGCGGCAGAAACATGAAAATAGGCCTAACCCAGGATGGAAATATCTGGCATGCACGTAATCTTCCAGTTTTGATAAAGCTTGGCTAAGTGCTCAGAATTGTGCCAACCGAATTCATTAGGGTCGTGGATATTAAAAGCAGAGAAACATATAGTTGGAAAAGCCATTAGAAATCAATTAGCCCAAACCATAGTCCCATCCGTCTCCCATTAAAATGATGAGAAAAGCAAGGCCCAGAAGGGAGGTGGCATGCCTAGGGTCAGAGGTGGTTGGTTTCAGAGGCAGGCGTGAGAACTAGTCTCCCAGTTACTAGCCTGGGACCTCTCCTGTTGCGCTGTGCCAGAGAGTTGTTCTTTTTGTTTGTTTGTTTATTTTTTACTATTAATCAGAAACTAAAGCAAAGCAAAACAAAAACGTTTCCTCTTTGGGCCCAGCAAAATGACTTTCTTGTTTTGGCCACTGCCTGCAGCCACACTGTCCCAGCTGCAGGGGCTCGGAATTCACCTTTGGCTCTTCTTACAGGTTTGTGATCACCCGGCCAGAAAACGAGTTTATGCTGCTGCCCTCGGATCTTGTGTTTTGCGCCATCCCTTTCAGCACCTCCTGTTACAAAAAGGATATTTCACCTCCAAGTCCGTGTGAAATTATAAATATGGTGCCACTGACAGAAGAGACGCTTACAGACATAAATTGTCCTCCTTCAGTTGACCAGGTCAGCGAGTCTGCAGCCCAGCCACCCAGTACATCAGTCCGTTCGCTGGAGCCAAAACCAATCCCCGTTGGTGATCCTAAGCAAGCAGTGTTGACTCCAAGTGGTAAACTCTCATCCCAGACACATCCAGGTGAAACCAGGAAAGAAAACGGAAAGGAAAACATGGAGGAAACCACAGTGGAAGATGCCTCTGCCTATCCAGAGTCAGACTAGACCTGCCGATATTTCCCAGGAGCTCCTGGTTCACTCCTTACGAGGCATCTCCAGAGGTGGTGACTTTGAACAAGGAAGGAAAAGATGGACGCCCACCATTTTTGTGGCCATTGCTGAGGGGTGGATCAGCAAGCCCACACTGTTTGGGAAGAGACAAAAGTCCGAGCTAATCCCACTGGATCTGGTGTGATAAATAAAGAAATAGATGATAAATGCCTCTCTAAGGGAAGTTCATTGCTCTGGGTCTCTTGAGCAGAAAACGTGATGGTTGGACCTGTGTTAAAGACATTGTTCAGTACTTGCTGGGTTCCTCCACACAGGGAAGATAAGAAGTAATCAAGGTAAAAACGAGAAGGATTTAGACATAAGAGACAAGAAATAAAGTGCCCCCAAATCAAGCATCCTATGTTCTTTATCCTCAAACAGGCAAGTAGTGAACTCGTATATTATCATCTTCTCTTTTTCCCTCATGCTTTTTCTTTCCTCATCTCTTTCTATAGGAGGTGAGGAAGACCAGATGGGGAGATACTTGTTTGAATTGGAAACGAATTTGTGTTAATTAAAACCTAGGCATACCCTAGGACAAGAATGAATCTTAGAGTATACTCAAGATGGGGTACCTGGACGAAGTCAGGTAGATTGAAATATACAGCCTTTCAAATTCCCTAATTCAAGAATAAAGACATCATCTCGTGAGAGGTAATAAAGCGTTTCCCCGCGTTCCAAAAGGAGCCAGTTCACTTCCCTGTAAGCCTCATCTTGAAGTCATTTCATCTCGGTATTAGTCTGTTAACACAGAAGCTCAGCACATCCAGGAAGTATTTACTCCCAATTGGTGAGCCTTGTAAGCAATGCCTTCTTGTGTTATAGATACAGCATAGGTAGAAGGGGGGAAGAAAGAAAGTAATAAGCCAGATTTCTTATAAATGGTTTTACATAATGTTTATGATATCCTTGACATTTTCCTCAACATCCTTGCTGATTTGGTATCACTATCTCCATTTTACAAAGGAAGAAACTATGTCACAAATAGGGTTCCCACATAAAAGAAAGGATACCCAGTTAAATTTGAATTTCAGAAAAACAACTTTTTTAGTATGAGTGTGTCCAAATTATCGCACTTAGCTAGTAAGTGATCAAATCGACATTTAAACCTAGTTAATTTGACTCCAGCACCTATAGACATTTGCCTCCAGGCAAAATAGAAGAAATGAAAGAAAAACATTCATCCACAGGAAATAAAATGTTGTATTAGTAAAGCTTTGGTTGTAATGAAATCAACTTAATATATGTGGAAAAAAAGAGTAATTGTGAGGAAAGTTGTCAGAGACCAAGGAAATCCTCGTTTAAATTTTTTTTAAGCTTACCTAGATCATCTTCATCCTTCTTTTTTGTACAGATTGACTTTCTTTGTTTTTCCATATACATGGCAAAATATATTTTCCTGCAATTCTAAATTTATAGGTAGAGTTGTAGGCACATCAAAGATTTAACCGGTCCATCTCTGCCTCCCAGATCCTGATTTCTATAAGGAGGCATGTAGTGGGCTCAGCTTTGGCCACTCCATCCCAGCTGTCAGTGGATGAGGAATAGGGTACCTCTGAATGGAGGACTTGTCCTCGGGGAAGGGAGGATGGTTCATGGTCTGGGAGGACGTGCCACCAAACATCTACTGCAAGGACAGTACCATTCCTCTGACCCGTTCCCCGAGCCATTTTATACAAAAGCATGTTTGGTAGAACCAAAATATTCCTAGGAAGGGATGGACTAGCCCTATGCACATTCAAAATCCACAAACCCACTGCTATACATATATTGTCTAATCTCAATTTAGCATGTGAGCCTCCAGAGTCAAAGCATGGCCCTCGATGATCTCATTTCCAATGCAGCAGAGAAATTTGAATGAGAAGTTCCTTTATTTGCCAGTATATTAGGTGAACGGGTACCAAAAATATGGCTAAAGAAAGATTGAGGTATATGCAACTATAGCCAGTATGTAAGCATTCATGTTGCCAGTCTTGAAAAATAAAACTGACAGAGGACCCCTCACGTGCCAGGTGATTCCGTGAACCAAACCCTTTACACATAGATGGCAACATTTTAATACAAGTCATAACACTACATCCTTTGGTAATAATGGCGGATACTTAATTCATAATGATTGTTCAATTCTTATCAATAGAAGAACTGATATGAAGACAAGAGAAAATGTGCAAGGAAGTTAAGAATATGTGGCCCAGTGGTTTTTAAGATTTTTTAAGACTGACCTTTTTGAAATTGTATGGAAGCTACAGTCTACCTCGCCAGAGAAGAAGAATATATGCACGTATTACACAAAAGTCATTATATAGGTCAGAAGGAGGTCATGGACCACTCTACAGTTTCTCCATCACCTTCCTAGATCCCTGATGTAGGCCTTCAATAACGAGTGGAGTGATCACCAGAAAGAACACAGGGCAGGGGAGTCGGGAGACCGGAGTACTTGTTTCGGATACTTCATTAAACATTTGTGATCTCGGGCAAGTTCTTAAGTCTCTCTCAGCTACTTTCCCAGGTTACTTTTTTTTAAAAGCAGGAAGTTGAATTGGAAGATTCTGAACATTACATCCATCTTCATTCATTTGCACCTATATTTATTCACGACTTGCCGTGTATCAGGCACGGTGCTAGATGCTGAGGATAGAGCAATCATGAAGACAAAGTTGCTTTCCCCATGGAGCATAGGCACTGTATGGAGGAGGGAGAAGATAAATGAATAAATAAATGAACAAGATAATTACAGATTGTGTCAAATACTGTGAAGAAAGTAAACATATTGATGTGACAGAGAATTGTGGTGGTCAGGGACCACTGAAGGGTGGCAGCGTCCTGTGGATAAACCATTTCAGGAAAGAGAACTTGGCATGACCAAGAAAAGAAAGCAAGTCAGTGTGGTTAGAACACGGCACATAAGCCAGAGGGATGTAATCTCTTAATCAGGAGAAACAGATTACATTTTACTCTAAGTGCAATGTGAAGCTCTTTGATAATTTTAAAGAATGCAGTAATGTGTTGTCCTTTATATTTTCAAAGATTACTCTGGCACTTATGGTTTCAACAGTATGACTAACTGAATTCAACTGGATTTTCTTCCTCCTACAAACACTCAGAAATGGTAGGTAAATTATAACAAAAGAATTTTTAAATGTATAACACTACTGTACGGTACATTGAAAAATGGTTAAGATGGTAAATTTTATGTTTTTGACCACAATTTCAAAATTCGTGGTATACATATAAATCAGTACAAAGAAGTGAATTCGTAACCTTATATGCATACCTGGAAATAGACGAAAACTAATTAATTAAAAATGAATGAGCTAATTGCTCAATGTAGCAAACTGAAGAAATATTAGTAAACTAACATAAATCTAAAGAGATTTTACATCACCTTTCACATTTCCCAACATAGTTGTCTGGAACAGGGAACCGGAACACAAATCCAGAGTCTGCTTTACTTAATATAGCTAAGCATTTGCTATTTTGAGAGACAGCAAAAATGCCCCCTATCCAATGGATCTTTCACATAGCCTAGAGAGACACTGGAGCAACAATTAACAGAACTCAGGAGTGGGTTGACTAGGTTACCATGAAGAAGCTGGAGGGGAGTATGTGACACTCTCTTTAGGAAGTGCTGTTCAAAATGTGGTCCCCATCCCAGACCTGTTGAGTCGGAATCGGCATTTTAGCAAGATGCGTAAGTGATCCATACGTTCAAGTTTGAGAAGCAGGGCTTTCAAGGGGTATGTATGTGTCTTTGTATATATATATGCAATATAGGTATATGTAACATGTATCTGTAATATACATTACACATCCACATAGACACATACATATATACATATGTATACATACATAAATACACACATGGTGGCTTCTGGTAAGTTAAAAGATCTGGAGGTTTGGTTTTAATGAAAACTACGCCCTCCAACCTTTAGCTATTCGGCATGTTCACTTCTGTTTAAGACCTACAGTACATTCCAAACATCTCTAGTTAGCTATAAAACCCTTAACCTGACTACCTTCAAACCATAAAGGAGTTAAGGGAGGTTGGAGTTCAGTCAAGTTGGTGTCTATTTTCCTGGAGGAACAATGAATAACCTACAGCTCAAAGGCATGGGTTGTTTCTCCCAAGGCAAAGAAACAAAAAAGCCCACCCTCTAAAAACAACCCGCTTGGGTTCCTAGACTGGCATGCTTAGGGAGCACGGGCA